GTAACACTCTAAAGAGAAAGGAAAAAATGAAATCGCATCATATGACCCCTTTAAGGTTACATTTTCCTTCTGCTGTACTTACTGTGACGTTTTGATTTCTCCCGCAGTTGATAGATGAGCAGATCCTTTGTGTACATGGTGGCCTTTCACCTGACATCAAAACTCTGGACCAGATACGCACCATTGAACGCAATCAGGAAATTCCTCACAAGGGAGCATTTTGTGATCTTGTCTGGTCCGATCCAGAGGATGTGGACACCTGGGCTATCAGCCCAAGGGGTGCTGGCTGGCTGTTTGGTGCTAAGGTTACCAATGAGGTAAGAGCATTCTTTCAATGCACAGTCAGTTTTGTGTAGGTAGTGAGTTTGGAAATCTGCATATTGTCAGTCGCTGCCTGAGTTGAAATGGAGGTGTAGTTGTTGTCATCCTCGTATACTTTACTAGCGCAAGTGTTTTTACAAAAATATCTCCAAGTAAATCGAGAACTAGAAATAAAAGTAATTTCAAATCAGATCAAAACTAAGACCAATGTAATTGTATTTAGTTTTGTGGCCTCTGGATTTTCTTGGATGAATTGAATTTTGATGAACAATGCTTTGAGCTAAATATTAGTCTGGCAATGAAATAATTAATTAGTGAATATTCAAAATATTTAATTCAACGTATTGGCTGTTTGATAAAAGTGTGACATAATAGTAAACATAAAAACTTTTAGTAAATGTTCCTGTTTATCCAAAAACTGAATTGTTTTTTTCTTCCCCCTCTCTTTCCATTAAAGTTTGTTCACATCAACAACTTGAAGTTGATTTGCCGTGCACATCAGTTGGTTCACGAGGGCTACAAATTCATGTTTGATGAGAAGCTGGTGACCGTCTGGTCGGCCCCCAACTACTGCTACCGCTGCGGTAACATTGCCTCCATTATGGTCTTCAAAGACGTGAACACAAGGGAGCCCAAGTTATTCCGGGCCGTTCCTGATTCGGAAAGGGTCATACCACCTAGAACGACAACACCCTACTTCCTCTGAGGTCTTCATTGTCGCTGCGTCCAGCCCTCTCCTTTTCATTGTTCGTTGTTATGGTCTTTAATTTCTCTGTGTTTGGTTTATTTAAACAAATATTTTTGTAAAGATCGAAATGCTCTCCAGAATAACAACAGTAAACTAAATAAGTGGACATCCTCATGCTCTTCTTACAGGGCTTTAAATGTAGATCTAACAGCCATTGACCATTTAATGATAAAAGTTAATGGGGTAACAACTCGCCTGATCAGAGCAATGTGGTGTTTGTGTTTTTCAGAGAACAGATCAGAAAGAAAAACCAAGTGCTGGTCAGTATTCTCCAAATTTCTCCAAAATAGTGACACCGTTCTTTTTCGTTGCTTTCAAGTGTAGAAAAGGGTTGAGGCGATGACCAGACAACAGGACAAAGGAGGCTGTGATTTATTTTGTACATTAATATAATTGTATTGATTTAGTCTTCTTTTTTTTCTCAGATTTGTTGTATTTTATTATTGTAGAAAAACGGCAGCCCATTTACCAATTAAATATTGAAAATAAACGCCTTTATTATTAAGTTACATTTCTGGTGTTGTCTCCTAATCGATGGAAGCATGAAAATATCACTTATTCTTTGCACACATGGCCATTTTAAACGCACTACATTAAGACACCGCAGAGCGGCGCACGTCCCATTTAATTCCAACAGGCAGCGCCATAGATGGCAGTACTACGCTAGTCCCGCCTCTATGAGTAAGTTGTAGCCTGACTGACACCGCAGCCAACCAATGGAATGCATCGAACGTCACTCACAGACCGGTGGGGATCTGACAAACAAGTTAGTTTGAGCGGGTTGCCACAACAGGCAATGAAAATTCAACTGGCCAGACAGAACCGTCGACCGCAGTAGATGCCGAATGGCAGATACTCCCTGCTCTTCCCTGGGAGGGTGATTTGAATGAGCTGGATGTAAATGACGGTGCGCCACCGCACTGGATGTCTAGATTTGTGTCGGGGCGAGATTCACAGGCGCGCTCTAACGTTAACTGGAAACGCTGTTCTTGAGGAGCAGAAACAGAAGATAGCTGTACTAAACTACACCAGTGCTCAGGTTGGGTTTCAAATCAGTGACTTTTTGACAGATATTGCTCGGCGATGTATGCGTTAGGCAAAAGAGAAACACGACTTAAGTTAACACGTCTTGGTGGACTAAGATAGTCAAGCATCAGTCAGACAAACCATCACTAAAATATGATTTTTATTCCGTAGCTTTCGGTCAAAGCTAAATGTTTAAAAAAAAATTTTTTTTGAAAGAAGGGTGTACGTATATCATCCCCATATGTGTAACGTACATATTTATATATGTGTGTAAATAAGCCTAACGGTGCACATCAAATCCATTCAGCCTTAGCATCTGCTAAAGCCACAGTTTTGTCAACTCTGATGGTCATTTTGAGGACAAGAACGCTTTTGCTCTCTGAACGCACTAAAACCATGTTAACGGTTCTGTCGCCTCTATTACCGTTACACGATCCAACCTACAGTTTCATCTTTGACAGAGTCACACAGAGTTGTCGTGTATTACCGCATCCTGACCTGAGAACGAGAGAGACAGCATTCGTGTGAGAGGTAAGTCATTATAGATGAGACACAGGCTTGATGCTCTTGAGTAAATGCATTTAGATGTGCTGGATGGCTTAATGGTGTGAAGTGTCACAGAAATGAGCGTTGTTGTTCTTCACACTGGTAATTGATGTAGAACAACAGCGATCAGTCAATCAGTCCGCGTTCCTGGTCAATGAACGGAACGAGCGCTATTACGCAGAGATGCACGCTGCCAAACGCTTTACGTTTAGTTTTGATTCTCACCCTTTGTCTATTGTTTATTTTAGTCCACCCAGATATTCGAGTCTGGGGTGATATTGTGAATGGAACCCGAGCCAATAAGCATCTCTGTATTATTATTGAATGAAGAATGTTGAAAAATCATTGGCTGTCGCAAGAATTACTGTATGTTCAAGCTGGGTTCATTCTGTCCTGCAACAGCACGGGATTGAATTTTGCAGAGCGCTCGCTGTCTGATCTTTTTATTGTTCACAATCATGCTGCATCGGCCGTGCGTGCATAATCTAACTGTAAAGGCAAGTGCGAATTGTATAATACTGTATAGGAAGATTATGGCTGTGTTATGAACATGCATTCAACTTCAAATGAGGTCCCATGGTAATCGTGCCAGAATAACTGACATCAGATGGCTGGAACCGAGAACAAAAAGAGAGATTTGTTGCAGACAAGCATGTTTTCTCAGCATCAGCTATCACACACATCATCTGTGAAAAGAGCCACCAGGTTGCTTAGCTGAAATTACGTCATGCAGACTGGCTTGTTATGGAAGAATGAGCTCGTGGAAGAAAATTCTTCTTTTGGTACTATTGATACAAGTATATGAGTATTTTCTTATTTAGTTATTGACAATAATGGGTGTAGTTTATCTCAAAATATTCATTTTATTTGAACTCCGTTGTCACCTTATTTTAACAGTCAATATCAACACGGCTGTGATTCAAGTACCTCAGTTTGTGCTAACATTGAGTACAACATTGTGAGTCTAATTTCTTGAAGTCCACATGAAATCAAAATTGACCCTATTTACTTTGCACAACATCCTCAACCACTCCCCTCCAACCATCATTCTAGAGACGCCAAGGAGGTGTGATAAAATCAAGCCCCTCCCTCTATTTTTCCCATTCAATATTTTGTTTCACTCAGAAATACATAAATACTGAAGTTGGTCACAACTTGTGGTTCATATGGCAAAAAAAATTCCAGTTAGCTTGTTTTTTTTTTCCACCAGTGAAAATAGTTCCAAAATATCAAGCGTTTTGTTTCAACTGGTCTGGAACAGCATACGTGAGTGGATCAGATATATATATATATATATACAGTGGGTACGGAAAGTATTCAGACCCCCTTAAATTTTTCACTCTTTGTTATATTGCAGCCATTTGCTAAAATCATTTAAGTTAATTTTTTTTCCTCATTAATGTACACACAGCACCCCATATTGACAGAAAAACACAGAATTGTTGACATCTTTGCAGATTTATTAAAAAAGAAAAACTGAAAAATGCTCAGTATTTAGTAGAAGCACCCTCTTGATCTAATACAGCCATGAGTCTTTTTAGGAAAGATGCAACAAGTTTTTCACACATGGATTTGGGGATCCTCTGCCATTCCTCCTTGCAAATCCTCTCCAGTTCTGTCAGGTTGGACGGTAAACGTTGGTGGACAGCCATTTTTAGGTCTCTCCAGAGATGCTCAATTGGGTTTAAGTCAGGGCTCTGGCTGGGCCATTCAAGAACAGTCACAGAGTTGTTGTGAAGCCACTCCTTCGTTATTTTAGCTGTGTGCTTAGGGTCATTGTCTTGTTGGAAGGTAAACCTTAGTTCCAGTCTGAGGTCCTGAGCACTCTGGAGAAGGTTTTCGCCCAGGATATCCCTGTACTTGGCCGCATTCATCTTTCCCTCGATTGCAACCAGTCGTCCTGTCCCTGCAGCTGAAAAACACCCCCACAGCATGATGCTGCCACCACCATGCTTCACTGTTGGGACTGTATTGGACAGGTGCCTGGTTTTCTCCACACATACCGCTTAGAATTAAGGCCAAAAAGTTCTATCTTGGTCTCATCAGACCAGAGAATCTTATTTCTCACCATCTTGGAGTCCTTCAGGTGTTTTTTTAGCAAACTCCATGCGGGCTTTCATGTGTCTTGAACTGAGGAGAGGCTTCCGTCGGGCCACTCTGCCATAAAGCCCCGACTGGTGGAGGGCTGCAGTGATGGTTGACTTTCTACAACTTTCTCCCATCTCCCGACTGCATCTCTGGAGCTCAGCCACAGTGATCTTTGGGTTCTTCTTTACCTCTCTCACCAAGGCTCTTCTCCCCCGATAGCTCAGTTTGGCCGGACGGCCAGCTCTAGGAAGGGTTCTGGCCGTCCCAAACGTCTTCCATTTAAGGATTATGGAGGCCACCGTGCTCTTTCACAGATCAGATTATTTTTTCGGATAAGCAAGAAAAAATATATTAAAAGCACAGAGAATGACAATGCCGTGAAGGGTTTTTGACCATTTTATTTGTATGTATATGCAACTCAGTATTTCCGCGCTGTCTGAAACACGTCTCTATGCTTGTGCTTGTCTTTGATTGTATGCGAGAACAGCACGTGAGTAACGAATTTTGTTTCTTCTTCTTGTGGTTTAAATTGCTTGTACGTGTAAATTGGCAAATTGATCTGCGAATCACGTGCGTGCCGAACGGTAGGGTCTCATCCGTACGTATTACGGATCAACTGCGATCCGTTTAACTCCTAATATGTGACAGATCAGAGCAATCTTTCATTTACTTATTTAACATGAAATTGTCAAATTGCTACTCCATATCAATCGCATACAAAGAAAATACAGAATAATTAGAACAATCATTAACATAAATAAATAACAGAGTGTCATATCTATACACATTTTTCCCAGAACGTTCTTGCGACCCTGTAGCAATTCTTCCACGGCCCGGTAGTGGGTCGTGACCTGGTGGTTGGGGACCTCTGACCTAGAGGGAGAAAAACAGAAATAGAGGAGGAGATGGGGAGGTGGAGAAGTGCTGGAAGAATTGACGCTGGGACGGTGCACTGAGAGCTGCTTATATAGGCTCGTAATGATGATTGACAGGACTGAATGATTAGGCTCCTCCCGAACCTACGTTTGGAACTTCATTTAGACAAACACTTGCAAGCTTTTTCTAAGCACTTTCCATCAGGGAATCCCATCGCCATAAAAAAAAGCACATTCCACTACATCAAGTGAATGATGCAAGTTTATATGAACTCATATGTAAACTTCGGGTAGCTCTATGTATACAGACCGAGCAACAATGTGATATCATGCAGATCATGCTTAATAATAAATCAGCTCCATAGTGGATTCCAAGTGATCAAGGGCTTAAGACGTTCCATTTAAACCAAATGCAGGACTTCCACCAGTTGTATGCAACATATGTAATGACGCCAGTGAGATGAAGGGAAGTTAGAGTGGGAAAGTGGGAAAAAAACAAACCAAAGTGGCACTCAGCCTAGTAGTGAGAGAAACCTTGCTCAGAGTGGTCATATAGAGTGAGAGGAAACGCTGATTCTGTCAGCCAATCAAATTTGTGTTGCATGAAGCACAATGAAAGTTATTGTTTTTTAGCTAGGGGAAAATTGCGAGCTAGTTCATAAGCATAGCAAAGGTTCTCCCTCCCTCTGTTTGTGTCCTGTGTTATATAGGACACCTGTCCTATTTTCCTCTGCATTTACTTCTTACCACATTCCTGTGGATCTGAATACTGTTAGAGAGACTTGGGCTCTTCAGCCACCAAGTCCACCGTGTTTTCATCCCTAACTCACTTTCACTCTCTTTTGAGTGCTGACGATTCACAGTGACGGTATTCTATTACCATGAGCAGTCATGTAGGCCTTTGCGCTAAGGTTAGATGCATTAGTCAGCATATGTGTTTGCGTGACCTCTTTAGAGAGATTGCGGATTGCGGCTTTAATTTCATGTAATGACTGATCTTTTGTAGTATTATTTGTTTTTATTTGGACTTTGTATATCCAAGTAGGCTGGTCTTTTAATAGTTAATAGTTACGGTCTACTCTTAACATAGTATTTGGTATATGCCTAGATGTCAGTGAAAGTCATTTTCAGTCATATTAATAGAATGTGTTCGGTGATGCAGTGACTGCAAAGAATGATATATATTATAGGATATTGATTTGGCAAAGATTTTCATTCGCATGTGTAGGTTACATACAGGGACATACATACACATACTGCCTCATCCTGCAGTTCTTTTGCTGCAGATGCATAGCTCATGCATTTTTATGGAAGAAAAAGATATGTGGGTCAAGCACACATCTTTGTGCAGAAGCCTTTTACCACTGCTGGCTTTATACAAAGAGCATGTATGCGTTACCTTCATGAGACAAGCAGATCTTTTTTATACATGCCTCGTTTCCACACCCTCTTATCATTAATTCTCTAAAGCCCATCTTCCATTCATTCCTAGATTGCATCAATAGGGTCTTAGTGGACAGGTTGTTTGTTTCAGCATAAGATCTCACATCCTCTGGGCTGAGTCTTATGGCTGATTCTATTCCGTAACTCTGTGTCTATGTACATCCTGGTCATTTCAATTACCACTTGCTACAACTAGGAAATAGTGCTTGTTCAAGCTCTGTGTCAATATTGATCTGGGTATTGATCAACAATAGTTATTTTAATATACTTGCTTATTCTCAATGGGTGCCAGCTGTCGTTTGTGTGTTATATGAATGTAGTGTGGCTATTGAGCATCATCTGACCAAGATGAAGGTATACAAACCTGTTTTATGTAGCTTTTAGAATGCCTTTGTTAAATGGATTTAATAACTTTTTATAACTTGGATTTGTGGTTCAAAATTTTTTAAATGAACACTAGATATCAATTTAATAGTACTGCTAATAAATAATCAATAAAATACTTACAGAATACATTTTGCAATTGTTTTCTGTTATGTAATTTATTTCTGTGATGGCAAAGCAGAATGTTCAGCACCCATTACAGTGTCACATGATCCTTCAGAAATCATTCTAATATGCTGATTTGCGCTCAAGAATTTTTTTTTTATAATGTTGAAAACAATTGTGCTGCTGCTTAATATTCTTGTGGAAACTGAATTCTTTTCAGGATTCTTTGATTAATAGGAAGTTCAAAAGAATAGCATTTATTTTAAATAGAAACGTCAATTTAATGCACCCTTGCTGAATAAAAGTATTAATTTCTTTCCAGAAAAATCTTATTGACCCCAAAGTTTTGAACTGTAGTGCATGAAAATTAAAATGACATTTTTCTTTTTCTTAAAAGAACACATCACGCTCATTTTAATCTACTCAAATCAAGTTAATTTAGGCCTAATTAGTTTGTATTGATTTATAAAAACACATAAAGATCAACCTTTATGTTAAAAATATTTAATTTTGCCCAACTACAAATCAAGTTATACAGTTAATATTTTCATATTTTACGATCAAAACATTTTCATAATTTTGATAAAATAACTTTTAAGAACTTCCATAAGCTTATACATTTTCATATTAAACAGGAATAAAACTTTTGACTGGATTTTCTTCTATTTTCTTGTTCTCCTGGCACATGGCAACTGTAGTATATCTGTCTCATGCTGAAAAAAAGAGGATGAATTCAATTGAGAATCACTGCAGACTTGAATGAATGGCAGCCTCTTGTGAAAAAAAATGTGTACAACAGACAGCTTTTCCATTCAACAAATTTCTATTTGGTATGCAGAGACTGTGTAGCAACAAACAACCACTGTGAAACACTGAATGTGCTTCCTTAATACAAGCATGTTCAAAAGTTAGACATGCTGTTAGGTGAATAATACAGAGATGTACACATTCTTGTAACGTCTGTGTGCACAATGTGTTCTTTTATTAAGCATCTCACATTCCTGTGATCTATCATGCACGTATGTGACACTAAATGTATTTATTAGGGTTATTCTATTTTATGTATCAACTAATGAGAAATTCTTGATGATAATTGACCGTTACATTATTTGGACTGTGGTGGAGTCAAGGAGGATTATAATACCTTTTAGAAAACTACAGAAAGCTTAGGAGCCCTGAAAGTATCCTAATAGATATATATATAGTAAAATGTTAGCAATAGATGGCATATATGCCTACAAAAGAAACATTATTTTGTCAAAATACACTGCTGATTTTAAAAGGCCACAGTGTTTTTTTAGAACCAGATGGTGTTGTTACCAGCATGAGGTAACAGGGCTTTGGTAACAAGCTAAACCTTGACCATTTGGGTAGAGCCAGCCTTTCCCCCCCATTTGTACACTAAACCAAATTCAGCATCTCAACATGGGTGCTTTACAAATTTGAGCTACCTTCCATTGCAATGTTGTTCTTTTTTTTTAAAATTATATTGTCCAACCTTATTTTTTGTGTTTTGTCCAACCTTAGATAAAAAAATGGGTTGTTACTGTGCTAATAAATAAATTATTAATTGCTTAAATTTTTCTTTGGGTGAAATATCCCCAAATATTCTCTGAATCTGTTGACAGCATTTTTAAGGTGCTGAAATGGTCCATACGTGGACCATGGTGAGCCATCTGGAGGCTGAGCAGGGGTGATGGACATGCTCAGGTCTTTTCCATTCAGGCCACCTTGGACTGACAGCTGAATGTTTGTCTTACTACCCACTGGGTCTGACCACACACACACACACACACACACACACACACACACACACACAAGCTGACATTGTACATCGTTTCAGGCAATAAATGATGTTTCTTCCTGCAGTGGCTTACAATGTCAGCACAATACATCATACATTACTTGCTCCTATTGGTGAGAATAGGCCTTCAACATACCATGTTGTCCATTTATTCTCACAGATGTGGAGTTAGAGCTTTTCGTCCATGATGCTTCATTCAAAATCATTGGTAAAGTTGAATTCTTGACTACATTGAGTCAAGGCTATTCAAGTTTCTTAACAGTTTAGCTTTAGTTTTTTTTTACAAAGCTTACTTAAATTCATGCCTTGCATATGCGTTATGGATATTTATTAATGTTCATCCTCTTGTGTGGATTTCTCCCCCATTCTGTCCTCAGCTGGTCCGATTTAACATCTGATCCGAGCAGTAAGCACTGCACATTCATTCAGCCTTAGGCGTGTGTTTGTCACACTCCCGCTTTCTTACTGTCCTCTGTGCCTTTGATGTCTCTTGCTCCCTTTTCCCCCAATCCATGGCCTCAGACTCAGACACACACACATACACACACAGCACCCAGTTCCTCTTGGTGTAGCCAGAAGAGGTGCACATGTCCTCTCTATGACACATCTACACCACACGATTTTATCTCCTGCCACCACAAAGAGGACATGTGTGGTGTTGTTTGGTTTGGCTGACACCATATAGTCTCTCACACAAACACACAAGCTAAGCTGTATTCACAAAATACTTAATGGGTAAAAACACAAATGGAAAGAGAAGTTAATTATTATTTTTCTTGTTGGTTAATGTGAAAACATGCAGATTAATTGGCCCCCTGTAAGAGCCGATTTTCTTCTTTCTGCACAGAGTAGACTATATGGTGTCTTTATAGTCCATTTAAGCTTTGAGCTTGTTTCTGAACAGGAAAGGCCTTTGAGAGAACCTATTCTTCAGCCAGAAAAGATCAGTGGGTGATGGCATATGTAGCAGGCAGTTGGCAGGACCTGAACCTCCTCTGTCCTTTAGCGGTTTATTTATTTATAGTGGAAAGTAAACAAAATGAAGACTTAAAGGCATGAAATCAAAATTGACCTTACTTTCTATACGTTCTTGGTCTTCAGATCATTTTAAATGCTGTAAGGGAATTTATGTATAGTAAGAAAAATGGCTATTCATTTTAAGGTTTAAGATTACATTTAACAGTGCTATTAAATTATTAGCATTTAAAGATTAACTTAACACCATGTTCTATCCAGACACAATGTGATAAGATTCCAGGAACACGATTGCTTTCTTTTCACACCAGATGCATTCACAACTACAAGAATCAATCACAAATCACAGCCAATCAGGAGAATGTGTGGACAGACTCTTTCTGCAATTTAAACCATTGAATTAAATGATTTTAACATTATTTAAAATACACACTCAGTGGCTGTTGCAGTGTTTGCATATTTGGAATATGCTTATTTGTTTACATGAAGTTCCCAGTTTGAACGCTATTGTATCTTTTAATTTTTTTAAAAGCTAAGGTTAATTATTAGTTGTTGCTTTCATTGTGGCTATTAAAGTCATGCACAATGATATCCAAACTCAAATTAAATGATTTTAATATGATACAAAATGCCATCAGTATCTGAACGGTCAGCTGTGATGTTGCAGAAATAGAAATCACTGAAAAAAAAAAAGGGTTTTTTTTTTTTTAATGGCATCTTGCAGCGTCGCTGGTTTGGGCACAGTGTTAAGTGAGTGTAAGATAAATGTAATCTAAATAGAGGAAATGGGTGTGAACAATTTCATATCCAGTATCAACTGGTACAGATAAATTGAAAAATATCTAATAACGGTCAATAGCTGATATGGTACCAATATATTGTGCATCCCCATTTTAAACCTGAAGATGTAAACAGTATTTTTTGTAGCTAAATGTTACAGTTGTGTGTTTACATTTAGAATAAGTCTCCAGTGATATCCAAGATAATCAACTAACGCAGTGGTTCTCAATCCTGGTCCTGGAGAACCCCCAAAACTGCATATTTTTGATGTCTCTCTTATCTGACACACATTTAAGGTTTTGGAGTCTACTGATGAGCTGTTGAGCATTGTGCAATGTTGGGGGTTCTCCAGGACCAGGATTGGAAACCACTGGACTAACGAAACATAAAAATGACTTCCAGCTTAATATATCTTGGTTTATTCATATCCATGAGGTTCATAGATTGATAAATGGATTATTTTAAAGGATTCAGTGAAACTTTTGTTTCAACTCAGATGCAAATTCGTCAGAGCGTGTCAGTTGGTTTGGAGGTGGAATTAGTCAGTTTTCGTCAAAGCTGATTCAACATCTGCCCACGTTACTGATGCAGATTCTTATACCCACAATATGTCAGTTCAGACTTCTGTGGTGCTCATTTAACTGTGATTCATAAAACTTGCTTCCGCCACTGATGCCTGCTTCAATGGCGTGCTTGTGCTAACGACTCGCTTTTGCATAACTCTGTCGACAGTCTGTTTTGAATTTGCTTTTTTGTTTTGTTTTGTTTGCAGCAGCTGCCATGACAGGGGTGGGGGCAGAGGATGACATCCCTCTCTGTGAGAGGAAAACTGTCACTGACTTCTGCTATCTCCTGGACAAGTCCAAACAGCTTTTCAATGGCTTAAGGTCAGTCTCTTCTCAGCGTCTAAGCATTTTGCTGTTTATTTGTGGTCTTGTTTGCCTTCCAGATTGCTGTCTGGGTCCAATCCTGCAGTAACCTTATGTACACTTACTCTCAGCTCAATCTCTTTCTTTCTTTCTTTCTTTCTTTCTTTCTTTCTTTCTTGCTTTTTCTTTCTTTCTTTCTTTCTTGCTTTCTTTCTTGCTTTCTTGCTTGCTATCATTTGTTCATTCTTTTTTCATTCTTGCTTTTTTTTGAATTTTTTGTTTGTTGGTTTTTTGTTAATTCGTTGTTTTTTGTATGTTTTTTTAAAAGTTTGTTCATTATTTTGTTAATTTGTAGTTTGTTTCTTCTTTTTTGATTTCATTTTTTGTTGTATTTCTGTATTTGTTCTTTTTTCATTCTTGCTTTTGTTTTAATTTTCTTTCTTCTTTTTTTTGCTTGTGCATTGTTCAATTGTTTCTGTTTTAATACCTTCAATTTTTTTCTCATTCATTCTTTCTTTCATTTGTCTTTTTCTTTGTTCATTTATTCATTTGTGTTTGCGTATGACCCATGAGGAGTTCATTTGAATACCAAAGTCAAGTTTTATATTCTCACAATACCCATAAATCATAGTGACTTATGTTAGTATCAAATATGGTGACTTACGTAACACTGGAATGTCTTATCACAGTTGAGACAACGTTATTTAATAACCAAGTCTAGTCGAGGCGGCCAAATCTTAATTAACCGACAGCAGCTTCAAATGCTTTTTAAATTTACGACAGCATTGAGCACATCGCTTGGGTTGCTTTCAGACCTCGAAACTAATGAGAGTACCAGCGACAGAATCTAAAACCTTTGGCTGACATAAAGCTCATATTGCCATCACTGTGAGTTAATGGAATCTCATATGAACAAAAATGTGAATGGCGCTCGTATTTTAAGACGTGAAAGAGGATGTCCCCAACCCAGTTCACACAGTACAGGTCTACAGAATTCAGTCTCAAAATTTAGGTGAGTCGAGAAAATATAAAGAGATAATTTTCCCAAAAATGAAAATTTTGTCATCATATGGTCACCCTCATGTTGTTCCAAACTTGCATTACTGTAATTCTAATATGGAATGTGAAGCTAATGTCTTTTTGTCCATGCACTGAAAGTCAGTGGGGTTCAGTGTTGTTTGGACCTTACTGACTTACTGACTTACTGACTGAACATGAGGGTGAGTATATATAGACAGGATATTGATTTTGGGTAAACTATTCCTTTAAAAAAAAGTCAGTGCTTTATCTATAAATGAGCAGGTTCTAATGTCTTATCTGTGCTGTGCTTTATGTATGTGATGATGTTTGCCTGTTCATCCGTAGGGAGCTGAGAGCCCTTTATATTTTCCAGTGTCTGGGTGAAGTGAGCTCAGTTTTACATCTGAATGAATCTTCCACAGGAACGCTCCTCTTCCACCCCCTCATATCTGCCAGCGTTTGTCTCTGCATTACACACACTCTTAAAAAATGAATCACGTCACTCCGTGTTTATCACCATTTCTCAGTGGCCAGTAGGTTGCGTTTGAGTTAATCAGTCATTTTTAGCTAAGACTATTTATAGGACAAGTATGTCAGTAGCTGTGGGCTCTATCTCTCTCTTTTTTAGCCTTCTCTCTCTCTTTCTCTCTTTCTTCCCCCTTTCTTTTTTCTCTCTTTTCTTCTTCTCTTTACAATCTGTATTCCTTCCACTGACATTTTTCAGCTTTGTAGCATTAGTCCAAGCATTATGATGTATTTAGTCCTCATTATTTGTGCATGAAGGATTTCATATGATGCTCTGTACATACACTGAAAAATTTTTTTCATTCATCCCATTAAAAAAATTTAGGGTAATGACTCACATCTATATTTTTTAAATTGAGCCAATGAAAAATAAATAACTTGCCCTAAGGGGATGTATGAATGAATGAATGAAACTTTTTTTTCAGTGTATATAAATATGCATGTATATGCAGTTATATGTTTTTTTTACCTTAATGATAGGTTGTGTTACACAAATACAGGACTAGATGCTTGTTATGAGGCCACGCCCCCATGCCCTGTTTCTCCATGCTAATTAGGCTGTCTAACCAGTAGCGGCCTACTTCTGCATTTGACGCTTAGCAACACCCTGTAGAGTTCAGTAATGAAACAGCTATTATTAATTGGTCTAATTTCCTTACCTAATACTTCCACTACTTGATAGCGCTCATTATCTTTTACCTCTTTGGTATCTCTTTAGTAAACAAGCTTGACTCAGAAGAGACATTTATAGTGGCTTTTATAGTGACATTTTCATATTCACATTAATATTCTTTATCAGCATGTAACAGAGTTTAAAAAAATGCAGACACATAAAAGAAACTCTTTTATTCAGCAAAAACACATTAAATGGATCAAAAGTAACAGTGAAGACATTTACAATGTTATTTCAGTTTCATACCATTTCATATAAACTTTATATTCATCTAAGAATCCTGAAAAAATGCATCACAGTTTCCACAAAATATTAAGCAGCACAACTGTCTTCAACACTGATAATAATAAGAAATGTTTCTTGAGCATCAAATGATCATATTAGAATGATTTCTGAAGCATCATGTGACACTGAATACCGGAGGAACGGCTGCTGAAAATTAGCTTTGCATCACAGGAATATACAGTATTACATTTTAAAATATATTACAATACAAAATATTTATTTTAAACTAATAATATTTGACAATATTGCTGTTTTTACTTCTTCTGAACCTGGACTTTATAGATATGTTCAATTAAAAAATTTATAGAAAATCAATGTATATATTATCCCTCAATATATATAATATAATATATAATTCCTAGAAACTTATAAAGAATAAGTCTATAAGAAAATGTATAATAAATATTTATATTAAAATATTTTAGATATCTAATATTTTTAAGATTTAGATTTTTTTAATAAATATGAATATCAATAGAATTACTTACTGCCATATAGTGTTAGTAGACTTTCCTAAACTAACATTTTGTTAATGTCAGTTCCAGAATAAATTCCAGAGTAGCGCAATTATCAAAACATTGGAGTATAAACGGCCTCAGCCTTCCAGCATGCAGATATAATATTGCCATGTTACTCGACTACGCCACATCTGACCCCATCTGCACACACCTCATCCTGGCTCCCTCCTTTCCTGCCTTCCCTAATTTACAGGTCTGTCCCTGGCTGTGCTCTGTCAGGGAATCTGTATTGTGGGTATTAATACTGTCAGAGAGGATGGGAAATTAATGGTGCATGTAGTGAAATTAAAGCCCTGCCTAATGACTGCACCTATCTCCTTCCTGACCTTGTCTCTCGCAGTCCACAAGGGCACCGGGGTGAACCGTAAATCTCACAAATCCATCTCTATAACCTTACACTGTGTGTGTGAATGCACATTATCAATGAAAGCTCCGGAAATAAAATGTGCGCGTGTTCACGCTACAGACGATTCTCCATGAATGAAAGGAGGTGTGTCTGTGCGCGGGTGTTCCGTTGTGTTGCGTGATGTGTGTGTGTGTGTGTGCACATGCATTTTGTGTATTGGCTAACTCAAGGTTATGCCTGGACATGATTTATTTTTTGACGTTCATTTTTGTCCCCACTTGTTTCCCTGAATGGCCTGTTACAGGTTCATAAAAGATGCATCATCTACTGTAATCGTGTGTGAGCGTGTGTAAATGAGGGCTTTTGCATTTACCTGCTGTATTCCTTCCCCAGTCCCTGCTTCTGTTGTCATAGCAACCCTCTGATGATAACAATAGGGCCTAGAGGTGTTTTGGGAGGGTTCAGGGGGAAAAGGACTGGGAAAGGAATAAAGAGCGAGTAGAGGCAGAGGAGGCAAAGGAGCTACTTCTCCAGCTGATTGCCATAGATCATCAAATTCCTTCACATCATCGGCACGATGACTCACCGCAGCCCTGCCCAAACACTCTCACCCACTCGCACTTTCTGACTCTCTCTGATTGCTCTGTTTTTGCTCTCTTCCACCACCAATGTCTTCACATCATCGCTATGATGATGCTAATTTAGTGCATGACAGCCATGACCACTTGTATATTTGGAAGGCTCATCTGCTGTTGTCCACATGACGTCCTGCGGTAGGAGTGTCAAGGCAGAAGGGCAGACATGGCTTATGTAATGATATGCGGGTATTAAGGTTGCGGGATTGGTTTGAACACAAACTTGATATTGTAGCTATTAAAACAAACCGGTGATTAAAGCAGTGAGTCACAGGACCTTGATCATATTCACAAAGCAAATTAATTTGCATAGAAGTCTGGTAATATAGGGAAAATAACATTTACCTCATATAATCTCATTTTCAATGCAGTTATAAATGAATAAAAATAAATGATAACATTTCATGGGATAGTTCATCCAAAAATGAAAAATGTGTCATTATTTATGCACTCTCATGTTCTTCCAAACTTGTATGACTTTCTTTTTTCTGTGGAACATAAAAGGAGATATTTTGAGAGATGTATCAGTGGTTGTTTTTTTTTGGCTATACAATGGAAGTCATTGGTCGCCAAAACAGTTCGGTTACCAGCATTCTTCAAAATATCTTTTTTGTGTTCTGCAGAAGGATCAGTTGTTTCTATTGTAGAAGTCTCTATTCGATTGTTAACTACATACATTTGTATCAAATAAATTGTGATAAGATTTTCTAGTGTTAAAGGGATAGTTCACCCAAAAATGGAAAATCTGTCATAAATTTCTCACCCTCATGTTGTTCCAAACCCGTAAGACCTTCGTTCATCTTCAGAACACAATGATGACCCTGTATAGACAGCAAGGGAACTACCACTTTCAAGGCCCAGAAAGGTAGTAAGGACATTGTTAAAATAGTCCATGTGACATCAGCGGTTCAACCGTAATTATTATATGAAGCTACGAGAATACTTTTTTGTGCACAAAGAAAATAAATATAATGACTTTATTCTACAATTTCTTCTCTTCTGTGTCAGACTGCGTTGTGCATTCACGAGAGTATTTTTAATGATGTCCTTACTATCTTTCTGGGGCTTGAACTTGGCAGTTGTATTGCTGTCTATGGAGGGTCAGAAATCTCGGATTTCATCAAAAACATCTTAATTTGTGTTCCGAAGATGAACGAAGGTCTTACGGGTTTGGAAAAACATGAGGGTGAGAAATTAATGACAGAATTTCCATTTTTGTGTGAACTATCCCTTTAAGACAGTCAAGTCACATTTATTTGTATAGCAATTTATTAAATACAGATTGTTTCAAAGCAGTTCACCGTAATAAACCAAAACATAACAGTATTAAGGTTGCAGAGTTCTTCAATTATGAATTGAATATAATTTCAGCTGTAAAACGTTGTCATTATGGTTATTCAGCTATCACGAGGGTCTTGTTTTCAGTTATTCATTCAAATTGTCCTTGTTTGAGACATTGCTAGTCTGCTTGAAATTACATTTCACCACATCTATTTTTTAAATGCATGTTATTATTAATCTCCAATCAGTAAGTCTGCTTAAACCTCACCCCTTTCTTACAATCAGCTCCCAGCTTACATTCAGCCGATCTGCCTCCATCCAATCAACAACCGATGAAAAGATCCAAATTCCCAGCCAACATTTTCTTAGTTTCATTCAGACGTACGTCACAGTACAGACATAAAGATCTGTCAATTCTTCAATTACATTGTGACTTTTTGTCATATGAACAGGATATTTCCGGAGTCACACCTATTTGTAAATCCGTTTTCAATCCCAAATACTGATTGTATGAACACAAACACTTAGAAATTGTTTGTGATTTTGCTCGTAATTTAATGGCTTTAATTCCTAAACTGATAAATTGATGCTTCAGTACCAATGAATGGGGAGAATGCATTATTAAACTGTGTGTCTGTTGTTTGTTCTTTCACACTCCTGCAGGGATCTGCCTCAATATGGACACAAGCAGTGGCAGTCCTATTTTGGCCGAACATTTGACGTATACACCAAGCTGTGGAAGTTTCAGCAGCAGCACAGGTCAGCCCTCTAGATGGATCTATTTTTGAAACAGAAAGATCTGTTTTTACCAAAAGCACGAAAATAAAGCAGGTTCTTTGGCTTAGAACTTCATAAGACTGAAGTTTTAACATGCTTGATCCAGTGGCAAGGCCAGAATTTTTCAAGTGAGTGGACCTTGGTGAAATAAGGTGGACCTCAGTGCTTTTGGCTGAAAAAGAAAAAGGCCAAAAATATGAGCTGAAAATACATGCCTAAATTGAACATAAAAATATGACTAGAAAATGTGATGTTAAGCTTAGTATGTAACAGATAGACTAGTCATATATCGTTGAAAAGGTCTCAACTAGCAGAATACAAGCATAATTGTTTCAGGACATCAAACAATACCAAATACATGCGAACAGTATATGCTATACATGCGACTTTTGGGCTGAGTTTTGGTTTGTAGCTTCACCAAATATTAGCAAACCATAGAAGATTGACAGCGCTTGCACTTACCATTTGCCATAGAATAGCCTAGAAGCGCACAACTGGAAGATCGACACTCATCCACCAGGATCTTATTAATTCTTTACTAGGGTTGTGCGATATTGACTATGATATCTTGATACTTTCTGGGATTTTATCAATAACGATAATTAGACAATTATTTTGCTTTGAGTGTGTTATTGTGCTGGTATCTTAAGGACTACCGTGGACAGCTGACTCCTAAATTTTTGTTATTCTTCATATTCTGTGTGGTGATCAGTTCACAGCAGTGATAGAAATTAATCTTTTCCAATAAGTTAAAATAGATTTTTTACCTTTTATGGGCTTTTTTTTTACCTTTATACAGCCTTTTTTTTTTTCTAAAAGTGTGCATTACCTTTTGAGTCAAAGTTTTGCATTTAATCAATCAATTAGAATAAGACATTTGGGCTGTTAGCAAGCAAATGTAATCAGTATTGACAAAATTTATCTTTGCAATGCAGAGGAAACACAGAAGCTGCATTAGAAGTGTCATTTAGATGTATTTACACACTGTTTAATGCAGCTCAGAGGGACATGGAATACCTGCAGTTACAAATGCATAAATAATGTTTTGATATTTTAAACATAAAACATAAAAAAAAATTATGTTTGAAATTATAAAAAAAATGAAAAGATACTTTAAATGTAAAATTAAAACCGCCAGTAGGTGGCAGCAAGTCACTGTTAATAAGTGAGTCATTGCGATTGAACCAAATAATTTAAACGGTTGATTCATTCAGGAAAGAAACACCGTCATGTTGCTCAGAGACGCAAAACAGTGCTGTAGCTGTGTTTGCAATTATTTTTGTTGTTGAAATGGAGCAAAAACAGACGATATGCTGTCTAAAACGTAAGTCTCTTAATTTACTTCTTGTTTATTGAACTGTTGTAAAAATCAATATCACATTTGTAATCATGCTGATTTTTGGAGAAAAAAATGGCACTCTTCGTGTGATACTGATTAACTATATGAAATTATAAATTTTCTGCCCCCATATATTGAATTTTGTGATAATTCTAAATGCATTTTAAAGGAACACGCCACTATTTTTGAAAATAGGCTCATTTTCCAACTCCCCTAGAGTTAAACAGTTGAGTTTTACCGTTTTCGAATCCATTCAGGCGATCACCGGGTCTGGCGGGAGCAATTTTAGCTGCAGCTTCCAATAAGCCTATTTTCAGGCGCTGCGTAATATCATTGCGCCTGCTGCACCCATGGTACTGCAGCAAAGTTCCTTGATTATTACGCTGGAATGAGAGTATAGTTCCTAGCCATATCGGCCTAGAAAATCGCAACTTTTCATTTTCCGTCGGTCTTAGTACACGTTGTAACTACAGAAGAGTCAAGTTTTAAATAGGAAAAATATCGAAACTCTTTGGTCATTTTTGAGCGAGATGCTAACGGTCTAATCAGATTCAACGATCTATGCTAAGCTGCAGCTAAAAGTGCTACTGCCAGACCCGGAGATCGGCTGAATGGATTCGAAAACGGTAAAACTCAACTGTTTAACTCTAGGGGGGGTTGGAAAATGAGCCTATTTTCAAAAATAGTGGCGTGTTCCTTTAATAGACTGAATCATGCAGTGAAAGAACGCACTCTAAATGCATATGCGCACTAGTTTAACCCACTACATCACGTAATGTATGCGTGCACTCTGTAGGTGTGTTTTGTTAGGTTTTTTGCGATATACTCGATAATGTCAAATCACACAACGTTAAAACATCAATTACGATATATCGCACACCCCTATTCTTTACATAAATATATCGGGTGGACCAGCTGTCAATCTGAGTGGGCCAGTGCCACCCTGGCCCTTATGTAGCCTCGCCACTGGCTTGATCAAACTTCCCTCTGATAGCTGCTCTGCACCAATGATGTCAACATTAATGACAGATGATTTCTTATTTGGTTTTGCATTACTGGAAAATAGACAAGTCCTGGACAACCGGTATGGTCTCAAGAGGTGGCAGATAGGTGAAGTGGCCTCAAAAATTGGCCAGCTGTACTACCATTACTAGTAAGGAGCTTTTTTTTTTTAACACAACTCTTTATTCAGCTTGTTTCAAACCATGTATTTTAGTTTTTTATATTTTTTTTTACACACAATTTTTTTTGTCTTCTTTAGCCTCCGCACTTCAGAAACAAGCTACCTTAATGAAGCCTTTTCCTTTTATTCGGCCATTCGCCAACGATCATATTACCACCAAGTCAACAAAGAAGACAGGTGAAAAGAAGCTGCTGTACAATGAACTGTGATGAGCAAAGCTGATACTTTTTAAAATTATTTAATATGTTCTTGAAAGTTCTTTGAAGTAATATACAGTACTTATGAGCAAAAGTAAAGATCTCAAAATGTATGTATGATATGGTCTTCAGTTCATTAATTTTGCCCCATGTCCTTTGCACAGGCCAGAGCTGGTTGTAAAAAAGCTGAGGTATTATGCTCGCTTTATCGTTGTTTGTCTGTTGCTCAACAAGATGGACCTGGTTAAAGTGTTGGTCAAGGTAAGTCATGGACAGCAGACCAAACGGATCAGTTACACATTTTTAATCCATGGCTCACTATAGATATTCAGTTGAACAGAGGTTCTTGCCAAAAGATCAATCAGCAGAGACAGTCTGTTGGCCACTTATGCAGCTGGAATTAATACAAAATTCATGCCTCATCAATTTTGGCACCGTTTAAGAAAATTACTTATACATTTTGTAGTTTTTTTTAATGTTATGTTTGGTTTTACAAAGGACTAATCCCTATACTGCCAACAATGCACTGTTTATGAGAAGAAAAACACAGTAGGGTGTGTCTGAGACCATCTGTGGTGTCTTTTTCTGCAGGAGCTGTCTGAAGAGATTGAGGACTACACCCAACGCTTCAACACAGAGGACCAGTTAGAGTGGAACCTGGTGCTGCAGGAAGTTGCTGCTTTTGTGGAGGTGAGATTGTAATTTTTTTTTAAGTATTGTACAATTAAAGTCACAGTGAAACACCATTGACAGCTCATATTACTTCCATGAAGCAATGACTTGCCAACTGAAATAAAAAGAAAAAATAGGATGTAGTTGTATCATTTTTTTCTACTTACTGTTAGAGTATTGTTAGAAATCTAATAATATATAAAATAAAAAACAGATTTATTTTTTATCATTAAAAACTATGAATGTCATTATACAATAATTGTGATTAAAAGTAAATTCATATAATTCATTTAGTATTCAGTCCTAAAAAAAGAATTTTTTTAGCGGATACAGACCTTAGTTTAAAAAAAAAAAAACCTGTTCTATATGACAGGTGGTTGGGGGGAGGGGCCGAAGCACATGAGGTGGAGCAAGTTATAATTTAGATTTTTTTTTCATTGTAATATACACCAATACATAAATTACACTACTGTTCAAAAGCTTGAGGTCAGCATGTTTTTTATGTTTTTGAAAAAGTCTCTTATGCTCACAGAGGCTGCATTTATTGTTCAAAAATACAGCTACAACAGTAAGTTACATATTATTAACATTTAAAATTGTGATCAATATTGACAGCAATTGTGCTTCTTTTTAGGATTCTTTGATGAAACGAAAGTTCAAAAGAACGTAATTTACATGAAATAGAAAACTTATGTGACATAAATGTCTTTACTGTAACACTTTATTATAGGGACCAATTCTAACTATTAAAGGGGTCATATGATGCGATTTCAAGTTTTCCTTTCTCTTTGGAGTGTTACAAGCTGATTGTGCATAGATAAGATCCCTGAAGTTGCAAAGACTAAAGTCTCAAAACCAAAGAGATATTCTTTATCAAAGTTAAGACTCTGCCACGCCCCCCTAAAACGGCTCATTCTAACACGCCCCCACATATCTACCCCACTATGTGGAAATATTTGCATAATCCCGCCGCAAATGTGCACGCAAAGAAAGAAGGCATGGTTTCAGTAACCGCAGTTAGTGTTGAAGCAGCCATGTCAGGGAGACGCGCATGCCTATTATTAACATATTGGCTGTTTATTAGTACTTAAAAATCACATATTCTGCATGACCATATTGTACATTCCTAATCCTACCTAATACTTAAACTTAACAACAAGCTTACTAACTATTAATAAGCAGCAAATTAGGAGTTTATTGAGACAAAAGTTTTACTTACTGGTTTGTTATTAGCAAGAATTGGACCTTAAAATAAAGTGTTACCCTTCTGATCAATCCTTGCTGAATAAAAGTTGATTTCTTTAAAAAAAATCTTACTGAATGATAGTGTATTGTAAATCAGGTTAATCTTATTACTTTACCGGAGAAATCAGTCAAATGTGCACACTCAAAAGCACAGTATCTCAGATGTTATAAATGCGTCCTTCTACACAATCTTTACAGTTACGTAAAGTACAGATTTAGTACGCTCTGTAAGACTTCTGACATGTTAATAACAGATATTCATATTTTCTTTCTTTTGTACTATTTCTCTATCTACACAGGCAGATCCTCTTATGATCCTAAATGATGACAACTCTGGGGTGGTCATATCCAATCGGTTGCAGGAGGGAGGCATGCCCCTTCTTGAACAGGGCATGGTGGTTGGCCAGCTCACCTTGGCAGATGCGCTCATCGTTGGCAACTGTAACAATCAGGTGGGAGTACAGTACAGCAAAACACCTAGCAGGCTGAACAAGTTACATAATATGTCAAATTCAAGCGGTGCTTTCTTATGTAAATGATTAGACACTTCAAACTTGCCATGTAGGTTATAATAACAAAAGAGTTTATTGTAGTCCAGTTTTTGTAATGGATGAATTTGATCTGGTTTATAGGTGAAGTTTAGCGAGCTGACCATCGATATGTTTCGTATGCTTCAAGCGCTTGAGAGGGAACCGGTGAACCTGGCTACACAAAGCTCCAAGCCAGGGACACTTGTAAGAGAAGACTCTTACACTCTCCCTGTCACTCTCTATGTTGAGTGTTTCTGAGTATTTCCACCCCTACTTTCTCGCTATTTCAGTACTTCACCTTTTTAAGTGGCTCTCTCACTGTTCTTTCTCACTCTGCCTGCTCTCAGTGTCTCTCTCTATTCCTCTCTCACTCATTTATCTCTCTCATTATAGGAGCCCAATGAAAAGCCGGCCAAGAGAGAGAACCCTCATAAATATCTCCTCTACAAACCAACCTTCAGCCAGCTCTACACTTTCCTGTCTGCCTCCTTCAAGGTTTGGCTGATGTCATTGCAGTTTTTAGCACCTGTCAATTTATTGTCAATCCATTCTGTCATTTCCGTCCTGATTTGACTCTATATTGCATCAAGACCTTGGAGCAGACACGATGATTAAGCTTAAATCAAATGTGCCATATATTCTGAGCTAATGTACTCCTAAATGACAAATTTAACTTTTAGCAAACATTGACTACAGTAGACTCAAAAGTTTGGGGTCAGCAAGATTTTTTTTTTAAGTTTTAAAGAACTTTATACATATATTCATCATAAATGCATTAAATTGATCAGCAAAGACTGTTTGTTTATTTATTTATTGGCTGTTCTTTTGAACTTGTCACAAAAATTTGTTTCCACAAAAAAGCAGCACTATTGTTTTCAACATTGATGATAAGAAATCTTTCTTCAGCTCCAAATTAGCATATTTGATATCTGAAGGATCATGTGACACTGAAGACTGGAGTAACAACTGCTAAAAAGCATCACAGGAATAAATTTCATTTGAAAATGTATAGAAATAGAAGACAGTTATTTCAAATGGTAATAATATTTTACAATATTACTGTTTTTAGTGTATTTTTGATCAAATAAGCCTAAGAGACTTCTTTCAAAATTATTTAAAAATCTTTCCGACCCGAACTTTTCAACAACTATGTACCTAATTCAAATTTACGGTCTTTCTCTTGAGCAAAAACACACCAAAGATAGCTTGTACTACACAGATTTATCTCCAAACAAATGCTCACTAGAATGAGAATGTTCGTTCCTCTAAAATGTAAAACTTACAGCTAGACTAAATCCTTTTGGCTATTTAAAAAAGGGAGGAGCCTTTCCATATTCCTTGCACAAAAAGTAGGAAAACAGTTTTCAGTAGGAAACACATTAACACAGCTTATCGAATGATTTTATGGGGCTTTTAAAGCCTCAGGATCTCATTATAATTCAAGAGTCAAGGGCAAAGATAAATAAAACTGCTGTTTTTCTATAGTTATTGCGTTCTGGTTGTCTATCCTGTGTGCTAGTTTGGGTTCTGTTGTCTGGAGTGACACCTCATGTGTGAGTGTGCGTGTAGCAGCATGGCATGCTAACGGGGTGTTAGCGTGTTACTATTTGCTCTGCTGTAGCGTAGCACCTCAAGAGTGCGAGGAAAACCCCCACACACACATGACTCAGATACTAGTGTGCTTTTGCTTTGTAGCATTTTTAACTCTCAGACACCCCTATTTTTAGGCTGTTTTCCATCTTTCTTCATGTTTTGTTTAGATAAATAATGACAAGTAATTGTCACAGGCACTTGCATGTGCTTTTTTTTTAACCATTTCCTGTCAGTAGCTGGTGTGTGTGTGTTTCTCTATTTGCAAAGATGAATACTACCTCTAGTTGCCGCGTAGCACTTACCGTGCCACTCAACTTAATTAGCTTGCTGTGACACTGCTTTACCATTTGTATCATTGTGAGCGTTCTGATTAAATTAGCCGATTTAATGAATTAATTTTTCTGTTCTAGTCATTGAAACTTTTCTTTTCTTTCACTGATTCTTTTATTGCTAGGAACTGCCAGCCAATAGTGTCCTGCTGGTGTATCTCTCTGCCACTGGAGTGTTTCCTGCTGGACGCTCAGAGCGTGAAGGTACGCTGAGGTGTTTTAGCACAGTTGTTCTGACACCGGATGATCTGGAATATTGTTCTCTTTATATTTACGTAAATATCTACTAATTACAAGCACTCTTGAAAAGCTGCTCAGCCAATCAAATTAGGGGATTAAAAAATTTGTGTAATATTATGTATGATGTTTCTAACAAACTGCCATGTTCAAAATCTAGTGCTGTCAAATTGATTAATCGCATCCAAAATAAAAGTGTGTTTTCATAATATATGTGTGTGTACTGTGTATATGTATATATACAAACATATATTTATTTAAATATTTAAGACATACATGTAATATATATTTATATTATTAAATTATATATTATATATATATATATAGACACACACACACAGTACATGCACATATATTATGTAAACACAAACCTTTATTTTGGATGTGATTAATTGCGATTAATCGATTTGACAGCACTAGATTTTGAACACAAGTATTCTTTGATGAATAGAAAGTTCAGAAGAACATTTTTGTTTAATGCATCCTTGCTAAATAAAGCATTTTCTTTAAATGTCCTTAAAAATCTTTCTGACCACACATTTTTGAATGGTAGTGTTGTAAATGAGCAAACAGAAGTTGATTCACCTAGAAAGTTTTAGGCTCCCATGATGCTTCATTTTGATGAGTGATCCAAACAGGAAGGAGTCAAATCTGTCCCATCGATATTATTTAACATCACCATTACTTTATGTGCAGGACCATATGATTTTGGAGGTGTCCTGACCAATACTAATCGAGATGTGGTAAACGGTGAGATGGTTCAGAAGAGAAACCAGGCACAAAAAGAGATGCACTGGTGAGCCTTCATTGACATCCATTCTGTGCTAGTCTGCTAGAAACTAAAACGTGCTTACTACATGTTTGAGACACAGGTGTTATTTTAACACGCATGTATGCGCAAATGTGTGTTTTTCAGTCTTCACCCAGGAGACCTTTTCCCCTTCACCAGGAAACCTCTGTTTATCATTGTCGACTCATCCAACAGCACAGCTTATAAGGTGAGACATCAACTCTCCGTCTCCCTTTCCTTGTCACACTCTTACACGCCTCTTGACGTCATGAGGCCATTTATTATTCAAGAGCAGCCATGTGGTTGCTCTATAAATAAGACTATCTGACTTCTTGACTAGAATAAACATGAGAATAGTTAGCAGAAATAGACCTTGTAGTAGGGACACAGTTGTAGTTTTTTCTTTTTACTCATAGACGGATCACCCTTTGTTTGTTTGTTTTTTCCCCCCTCAACGGATTTTCTTTATTTGGCGGTATATTTCAGTAATGGGGCGCCCCCTTGGGTACATTTTATAATGTATATTCACATTGTGTACTAGTAGAGCAAATTTACTGTTAAAATAATTTTTCATGTGACTCTAGCTTGTTGACTCCTTCCCGTCTTTCTACAGAATTTCTCCAATCTGTTTGGCCAGCCACTTGTTTGCCTGCTTTCTCCAACAGTGTATCCGAAGAGCATGCAAGGTCTGCTTTTTTGTTGTTTTTGTTGTTAGGAGACAGGAAACATTTTTAATATTTGCTTAACATTTTTTTTTCTTTTCTTTGAAGTAGAAAATGCGTTATTTATATACTGAGTATCTATTGTATTTTTAAACTGTTGTTTTCTTCTTCTTTCTTCTCACTCACAGACCCGTGTCAGCGTGGGAGTCTGTTTACTCTTTTCCTTTACAACCCCCTCATGGGCTTCCTGTCTGTGTGTGGACTGAGCAGCATGCGCTATGGATTGTGGGAAAAGGCCCAAGAACTCCTACGGAAGGTTTTCCATGACATTGGCCAGATGATCACGAGCTCCCGAGTTATAGGTAATGCCAATATGTGCCCTTTTTAACGCTTACATTAATTTTTACATATCAATGACATGTTGGGCCAAGCCACAGACAGATATATCATAATTTTCCTGTTGACTCTCTTCCAGATCAGGCCTATCTGCAATTTTATGGCGATGAATTTCTGCGTCTGCTCATGATCCGTTTTGTGTTCTGCTGCACCACACTCCGATTACACAAGCTTTTCCGGGTGAGACTGAACTGAATAAATAAATATTATGTTCATATAATAAACACATTAGTGTGATTAGTAATGATCTGTGAAATAATAGTCATATTTATCTCATGAACCAGAATAAATGACTATTAAATAATGAATAAATATTAAATATATTTTTTTGAATATGAGGTAATGCAGCTCTTAAAAGTTCTCGGAAACAGACTGATTTTATTTATTTGTTGGTTGCTATTCTCAAAATTGAGCTCTAAATCCATTATTTTTCGCCACCAGGAAATTGACTTCTACTGAGATCCTATTGACTTATATCAATCATCCCTTTTTTCTTGCTGCCTTATTTTTTTTTATGGACAAAAAATGGTGGTGCACTTACACTTATCAACAGCCATTTGTACCCAGTGTTTTTAGTGTTATCTAAATCTACAACTATTTCTACAATGTTTTCATTAATGAAGCTAAAATAAAATAAAATATAAATATTAGATGAGAAACTTAAAACAACTTAAAAATTTAAAATGTTGCCTTGACTTTAAAGGGATAGTTGAACCAAAAATGAAAATTACTCACCCTCATGTCAAACCTGTAAGACCTTCGTTCATCTTCAGAACACAAATTAAGATAACGTTGTTTACATTTAGATCAAAGTGTAAACAACGTATCCTTGTACGGTGCTGCTGACACAGAACAGCATACGTTGTTTACGTATGTGATACTCTCCAAAATGGCGCTATAGGGTGACGCGGAGGAGACGAATTGTTGAAAAAAAGTCGTTATTTTTGTTTTCTTTGCGCACAAAAAGTATTCTCGTAGCTTCGTAAAATTACGGTTGAACCACTGCGGAACACTTTTTTGTTCCAAAGATTAACAAAGATTTTATGGGTGTGGAACGATATGAGGGTGAGTAATTTAATGACAGAATTACCTATAAGGTATTAATAAATACTGTAATAGTATACAGATAATACTAAAATAACATTTTTTGTATCCCACAATCAGGCATCTGGTGGAGTATTAGACATACAAAGCTGTATCTATTTCTAAACTGTATTAAACTTAGAAGTAGATATAATGCACTGAAAAATGGTCATTTAATTAAAATATACATTTTATTTTGTAGTATTGTGACTTTTCTAGAGTCACATTGTATACCTCCTGGTGGCACTACATACTTCACAGTTTGAGGAGCACTGACTGACAGCTGCAAGCACATTTGAGGAGCACTGACTGACAGCTGCAAGCACATTTACAAGATATTGTCACAGAGCAGCTGGATGAGAATATTTCTGTGTGTTTGTTACAGGAAGCGGGGAGTTTTCCAGAATCGTACCCCCCGCTGCCCAAACAGGAGATAGTGGAGAGTAGCCTTCTACAGAAACGTGTGCTGGAGCTGGCGGCCATGTTGGACGTGCAAAACCTCTTCTCTGATGGCATGTTGGATAACTATTGACCACATGGTGGCACCATGCCAACCTGCAGACACACGCTCATGCCCATACACACACAAACACAAGTTGTAGGTAGGTTCTTCTGAACAAGCTAGTTGTTAAGCCTAATCTCATTAGATCTAGATACGGTAGTTTAATAACTATTCAAGACAAAATATCTCATCTTTGTGGGCAGATATTTAAAATTTGTCGAGTTCACATGTATTTTTAGATTTTAATGAGCTACACACACCCAGATGCGAAAGACTTGCTCCCAACATACAGGAAAATGTACTACATGCATGTAGCGTTTGAGAGTATGAGCGCAGGCAAATGGGCGTTCAGACCTGTTGAGGGCAGCTATCGCCGTTTCTGAAGGTGATAAGAGAGCACAAGAAGAAAGGAGACTTGGAAACAATTCCAGGGAGATTCTTCCAAAAAGATGAGCCTACGGCTTTGGCAAAACACATTTTGGAGAAGGAAGTTTGTTTTCCTTCTCAACACTTTGCCTCTGCAACGTTTACACAACATTTTTCCATAGGGAGCGTGTTGCATGTTTGCATTTCTTTGCTCCATCTTGGCATTTTTGTTTGTTTTCATTCGTTAAAACGTGTTAGTTTTTTTTGTGTCAAGTTGTTTTCTTGACACAAATTCCACAGACTTTTGCCTGGTCTTTCGAAGGACGCCCTTTACGCTGTGCCTCTTTTTGGTTATTTCGGTCATCAGCTAAATAATTAACGCTACATGGACACCAGAATCTCCATTTTTATTGAGCGTTGATTCTTTTTAGCATGCTTCTGTAGTGTGGTAAGCCCATACTTGCATAGCTGATGTAATAACCTAATGTCTTATTCCATGTGTGCAGTGGACACCAATAGCCAACAAAGTTCTCTTTTATAATGTCACAGAGACGTACAGGCGTACTCCTGTATATAAGTACAAATTTGTGTATATATCTATATATAAATATATGTATAGTTCTATAAGAAGTCAATGTGATGCAGAGAAGTGTGTCTGTCTGGGTTGTTCGTCGTGGCAGATCTGTGAAAAGATGACCCTCTGCATGTGACAGGAGCAGTGTTCTTTTGTCTAATCTGTGAATGGACCATGCCACTGTCTCAACTGCACACCCTCCCGCTGCTTCACACGAGTCAAGTCAGCTGACATTCCAAGGATCATGGCATAAGAGTGTCCCTCTTTCACAACCCCATCTGTCTCAAAGACAAGACTGTGCACTGCGTCGGTCTAATAAGAAGTGATGTGTTCGGTGTTTCATTATGTCATGCTGATAATTACGATGAAAACGGTTACAATAATAGCCTTGCACTTTAATTGCACTATTTAAGTTTGATTCCGATGTTATTTATTGTGCTGTAGGCAAGAGGCATGTCTGCTCATTCCGTTATGTCACGCTTGGCAAATAGCTTATTTTCTCCGTCTGTGATCTATGTTAGAAAACGCCACACATGGTGACTGATTTTTCAACGTTTACGACTTCCCCCCCCCACCCCGAACTGCAGGGTTGATCGTGGCCATTCGAATGGGACCAAAAGATTCTTGCATGTGGAGAGCACAATGTCCCAAACGATTCTCGTACTCTTACTGTCATCTCTCTGTCTGTAGTTGATAGTTTTGCACGTTTTGACCCTAATTTTTTTTTTTTTTTTGAATAATCCTCTTGTATGAAAAGAGAGAAGTTTGCTAACGAACAAATCACTGCCAAACACAATTAACCTTCCCATGGAATATCCACTGCCCAAATTAAGCAGACAAGAGTTGTCTGTGCTCTCGCAGGCACAAATTTGTTTTACGGCCTAGCATTTTTTTTGTCGTTTTAGTTTGCCAAATGGAGAAGGGCTGGATGGAGATGAAGAGGGAAACAGATGGTGGATGTCACTGTTTCCTCTCTGTCTAGTTGTCTGACCTTGACTGGTGGACTGTCAAATGTTTTTGCCTTATTTAATTTGTATTAGTATATGTGTATAACTTTCCAGGAACCTGTAAATTAACCCGGCATGTTCTTGCTGGGACTGTCCCAGTATAGTGCTGTATTCACACACCACATCATTTAGCTGAGAGCACAGGGGTGAATACAGACTTTAAGCACTTGAAAACGTGAAATGTACCACAACAGAAACCTACCAACCTAAAATTTAGGGGAAAATGCAATACCCTTTTAAAAATCATTTTAACAAATTGTTTCTTAACAATTGCCCAAATTTCTGTAGTAGATGCATGTTAATTAGCTAATCTGTTAAATGTTGATGCCCCCCGTTCCATTTGAATGCAACCTGTAAATGCATTAGCGGCCATGATTGGAAGGAACAGAAAGAAAATCAACTGCATTTGTTTTCTATTGTAAACACGGGGCCAGATCTAAGGTGTAGTACGGGTGATTTCTACCAGTTCCTACTGTTGTGGGAGGGAACATTTTCAAAAATGATGTAATGGTCAGAATACTCTTTCTTTATAAGTTAAGGGGTTCTAGAGTTGCTAGTTGAGCATACTTGCATTGTCTAATTGTCATGTGTTTTTAATCACTAAACTGTTTTGTCTTATCTGTTGCCAAATTATATTTGATGTTTGTTGTTAAATGCAGAAAAAAAGAATACAGAAAAAATGTGATGATACCAAACATGCAAGCTTTTTGTTTTTAAGAATGCTATTTAAGAACATTAAAAAGTTTATGAATGTTTTGTTTAATTTGTGGTGTTCCTTCATCCGTTTTATGTACTAATAGCACTATAACTGATAGAGAAATGATTCAGATTGGGGGTGCATGATATTTTAGATATTTAAAATATATTTCCATCTATTAGTATCATTCAGTATTGGACATTTGTTATGTTGATTAGAACATCGTTGCCATCATCTGACGCTCATTTACTGTAACATTTAAAAACAGTGAAATGCAATCCTTATCAAATTTCAGAATTAATTTTTAAATCCAATATTCATTATAGTGTTGCAACGCTTGTAGCATTTAAATAATTTTTTAGTATTTTATTTAGATGAATACTGTATAGTATGGAAGCCTGTTTCCGCCACTGAATAAAAGAATTAAAAAGGTAATTGCGACTTCTCACAATTCTGACTTTTTTTTCACAATTGCGAGTTTACATCTTGCAGTTCTGACTTTTTTTCTCAGAATTGTAAGATATAAACTCGCAGTTTTGAAAAATTAAGTCAGAATTGAGTTACAAGTCGGTCACAATTCTGACTATTTCTCGCAATTGTAAGTCTATATTCTGCAATTCTGACTTTATAACTCGCAACTGAGTTTATATCTCACAATAAGAGAAAAAAAATTCAGAATTGCGAGCTGTAAACTCGCAATTGTGAGAAAAAAGTCAGAATTGTGAGAGAAATTCAAAATGACCTTTTTTTGTTTAAGTTCAGTTGCGAAAACAGGCTTCCATAGTATAGACCATTTATCAGCCATAACATACAAATAATCGTCAGCCAGATTTTTTAGTATCAGTGCATGCCTAATTAAGACTGCATTGCAAAACTCCTCACATACTCAAAATTCCCAGGAATAAAAACGTAAATATTATATTCAGTCCCTATAAATATATAGACTACGTGGAAAACATTAGACATTTATATATGCAGCTCCTGGGCCCAGCAGTGAGATTACAGCAAAAGTAAATCAAACACAGATGACGACATAAAGGAGATCCATTTACTTTAATGTAGCAGGCACTTTACAATGATCCCCAGTCTCTACCCCTTTGGTGTTCCATTCTGTACCCCATCACTGGTTCCATTATTAAATCTATGCACAAAAACAAAACAAAAGAGCATGGGACCAAAGATGTGAAATAAAATAAAAAATAAAAGATTGAAATGACTTTTTTTTTTTTTTTTCAGCACAGAAAACACTTCAAATCCAATAACAACCTCATATGTACGAGCTCACTTTTGCTGCTCTCATTCACCTGATCTTAAATATGCTGTATTCACCATATTACTCATAGCACATACACCGGGTTTGTTTTGTCTTCCACAGTACATTTCTTCCCACTCAAAATCGTGTCGGATTGAAATCTTTTTGATTCCAGTATATCATACAACAATTTATGCTATATTGGCATATGAACATTACTTCACTTTTACGCAAGCAAATTTTTTTCTGTTTGAAACAAGTGCTTCGGTGTTTCTCAGTTTACAGTTCATCGTTTTTTTTCCCTCCTTCAAGACAGAAGCATTCAAAATGGCCTTTTCTTCTTTCCTTTAAGCAACAGGCAAACCTGCCTCGTGTCCTCGGTGTGACAGCGTCACGGTCTCCAGGTTCGGTCAGGTAATCATACAGTCTTCCTGGCTGTCATAACTCGAACAATAGAGCCTAGTCCTCCAACAGCAAATGCCTGTTATAAAAGACAGAAAGAAAAATGTTTTTATGTTATTTAAAGCCCTCCAAAACGGAGTATGGTTGGTGTGAAACAAAATAATGCACCGACAATACAATACGGAAAACATAATATACATAACATCAGGAAATTGACTTATGGTAGCCATATACATAGTATACATATAATGTGGATGTGTATGTTGTATTGTCATATTAATGATATATTTGTGCAACAGTTGTAGTGCATCAGTTGTAGTTTAGCAACTAACCTTTTCATGCCACTGCAGTAATATGGCACTGCTATTTTCTGTGGGCCTCTCAAAGCCTTTGTAGATGTACATCATGAGAAGATCAACTCCATTCTTGTTGAGAGATTTAACAGTGGGCTCTATATCGCTGCTCTTAAATGATGTCAGAACCCTCAATACAACAGCCTGAGCTCTTTCCTGAGAATGAAAGACCGGAAAGATGCAATCGTCCAGTCTGCGCCCCATATGCTTTATTCTGAAATGTAATTCTTGGTCAAATGGTCTGTACCTTTATTGCTGGGTTCCGGCTGTTGATTGGAGGGTTCCTAAGAGCAATATGAAGGGCTGCCATCATGTCCCCTGTGCATTAAAGCTGGTTAAGGAAGACATCAATAGCTCAAGGCAAGCTCTTACCATACCTACAGTACAGAAATGGAAGCTTTAAATTTTGCATAAACTGACACTAGGAGGAATTAAGTTTTTCGGATGAAGTTGTCTCAAACATATACACACACTCAAGCCCAAGAAGGAATTTCTCAAAACAAATGAATCTTTCAGACGGGACTAAACTCTCAGGAACGTGGATGATTGATTGTTTGGTGCGCTGCAGCTGCCTGCCACTGCATTCTCCAACAACTGTCACATGCACTGAATGACACTGCATTAATATGGAGATCGACGTGGCTATCCCAACTAGATAAATTTCAGCCTCTGAATTAGATGAGACATTAATATCAACTTTTAATCCAAGTATTCAAATTTTAGGCGCTGTGACCTCAATATTAAAAATAGAAGACCTCAACATAGAAGCA